TTGGAGTCTTTTTTCTTATCTCCGAATGTTCGAATTATTTTTTTCTAGTTCTGGATTTCTTTTAGTGCGGCAAGAAAATATTTCTTTTTTAAAATTTGTACAAAACGCTAAATATATACTTTAGAAATTGCACACTTGTAAACAATAATAGGAGGAATATTATCGAAGTCGAAATTTTAAGTTATTTCAAAGAAGAGAAGTGAAAATTTGGAATTCTTGAAGATAAAAATTTTCAGAGTGATTCTAGTAGTCGAAACTAAGTTATTTCAAAGAAGGGAAGCGAAAATGTAGAACCCTTGAAAATAGAAATTTTTAAAGTGGTTCTAGTAGTCTAGTAGCAGACTCGTCCAGAATGTTTCTTTATTCTGGACTTTGGTCACAACTGCTCAATTATTGAAGAAGAATAACCATTGACTCTCTTAGAAATTTTCGGAATTAATATTCCAAGTGAAGAATCTGAAATCCCTCAGCCGAAACTTGAACTCACACTGTAACTACTTCTCTAATCCGTTACTTATACTTGCATTTCTTCGTACAGGTATTTGGCCAGAACAGGTATACATACCCTATTTCTGGGTAATAAGCTGTTGTATGAAATTATATGAACATAATTAATTGTAAAATTTAGAATATCTATTAATAATTTCAACATTGTACAAATATTTATAATCTAAATATCATTCTTCATTTTATTTCTTGGCAGTCTACATGGATTGACTCGTACCTATCTAAGAACGGGTCTAATTGCTTGGCAGCGTTCAAGGCTGCCTACGATTGATCTTCGCAATAGATTCACGAAGAGACTGATACACTTGTTCGATCGACTGCAGATTGCGTATGGTAGCTCGTGGTGAAATTCGCGCAAATGAAAAATGAATTTAACCTAGAAACTATTCGGTATCTAACGCGGAACGTAGGTACATAGAATCCGGGGTCTATAGTTAAAAACTCCTTTCGAAAAAATAGGTCGCGGTGCGGTTAGTCGACGTACGGTCGGCCTTGAGCGTCGGTATCGTTGTATGATTCCCTCCATGAAATTTTCACGAGAAGAAGAAACACGATACGATGTACGGAGTGTTTCAACGAATTTTACATTCGAGCTTCTTCGCGTCGTCAATAGGGTTTCCGCCGGTAAGAGGCGTCTCCCTCTTTCTCTGACTTTCAACGTACCTCCACGAGCTTTTCGAGTATTTCGTTCTACAGAGTGGAAGAGAGAGAGAGACTTATTATCGCGTTTATTCCTCCGCAGACTGGAGATTAACGGAACATTAGTCATAGTGCAATTGATAAATCGCGTCTTTGTTCGTCTTTGACATGGTACCAGATAGGAAAATGGGAGGTACCTTATGCAAAACAATTCATTGAAACGTTGAATCTGCAGCTCCAACGATTATATTTCCTGCTTAACCTCGTTAAAGCAGTGGTAGCCAATTTACAGATGATCGAAGAAACGGTGTTAAGCGAGTTTTCACGGATGACAGCTAGAGTTATCCTTCTTTTTGCTCTTTTCCCACGGACGACAGATGGCTATCCTACCTGTATTTTCCAATAACTTGTTTTCCATGACTCAGATTACTACGAAGACCAGTTGTATTACTACGGTTACAATTTGTAGCACCAACTTGCAGAATTAAGAATTATCAAATATAAATTGCGCAAAATACAGAATAGCTGTATCTAATAGATCTGACAATTAAAAAGAAAGAAAGAAAAGAAGGAATTAAAACGTCCTCTAGTTACTTTCTTATCTCAAGTAATTCTCGTCTGGATGACACGCGGTATCATGTCCAGTAAAATTGGTTCGAAACACGAACACGATTCTATTCATTTAATAACAATGGCTGGAAATCACAAGCTGTCTGCATCAGAGATCAGCGGTTCCGGAGCACTCGAAATCGGTTTATTTTACGAAAAAGACGAGCTCAGCTGCCACGAGCAAAGCCAAAAGCGTTACATCGAACGGCAATCGATATTTAACCTCCCACCGGCGTGCCGCGGCGCGGCGGCGATCGAGCTGGAACGGACAACAAGAAAGCGAACGCAACAGCGTCATAAAACAAACCACAACATTGTAGCGCGACTGACGTTGCATTTTGATCGCACGAATATTTCCACCTACGCTTGTCATTCACGTGCATCTTCCGTTGCCCCAGTGGTTTTATCTGTTTCCCTTTCGGAACAGCGACAAGTCCCTCTCGTCAATCTACACTCGTCCCTTTGAAACACCACTGACAAATAAATCAGTCACAAAAGTCTATATATCATATACCTGTATCGACTCTTTTTGAAATTTTCCAGCGAACAACTTTATTCTTTTAGAATTCTTCGATTAACAGAAAAGAAAAACTAGGCTTCCGAAGAGTTTTCGGGAATGAAATTTCGTTTGAAATGGTAAGTGCACCCCTGCCACAGACCCCAGACAACGGTCCGTCAAGTTTTATCCAACAATAAGAACCGAGAACGATTTCGATTTTCCCCCGTTCGCGGAGCAATCGCATCTACGATCAGGGAGCACACCTGGATACAGGTGGCGGAGGATAAGAAAGCAGCTGTCCATAATTACCGACCCCAGGAGCGGTGATGGGATCTAGACTTGCTTGACAAATGCTTCGAATCACCCTCTATTCAAACATTACAGTCAGAAGATATTGAAAATAAAGAAAGGCTAAAAGAGAAGGACGGCTGATCGCGAGCGTTTTCTCGCGCGCTGTTTGTTTTTCGGACGAGACGACTGGTCGCGTCGCGCGAATCAACCCTCTTGCCGGTTTTCCCGCGCGGCACGGCGCAGCGCCGACACGCTATGCGCGCGCGAGACACCCACCGACCGCGGCTCGCCGCCCCTTCGCGCTCGTGTGTGCGTGTGAGCGCGTGAGTGTGTGCGCACAGGCCGAAAAGGAACGAAGAGGAAAAAGGCCGCGCGCGTCGGCGTCGCTCGGTGGCGGCATTCTAAATTTAGGAGGAAGTATTGATTTTACAATTTGGACCCCTCCCAAAGTAAAAAATAAACCAAGCCAAACGTACTCTACTTTGATAGAGTGCCTCTCCTCTGCGCGGCTCGTTTCGACGCACGGCCGAGACGGAGATACAAAAAGGGAAACATAGTGGGGGCGGCGGGCCGCCGGCTTGGAAACGGAGGGGTAGAAACAGCCCCCACGAACGAGTGGGGTGGAGGGGCGTTGGATGAAAGAAAAGAAGAAGATAGCGATTGCCAGGGAAAGTGAGAGAGCGATGTGCGCGGTAGACCTACAACGTCGGAAAAACGAAAGAACGAAAGAAAGAAAGAAAGGCTGGAGGAGAATACGGGGGGGCAGAGGGGCCGAGCGAGTGGGTGAAGCGAAACGTGGGGGTCGAAGGCGAACGCCAAGAGGTAAGGGGAGAGAAGAGAGAGTGGCGAAATACCGTAGCTCCAGCCTGGTAAGAAACAAAGAACAGAAAATTGATCGTTTGTTAAGTTTTATGTTCCCCAGGGCAGGCGAGGGTAGTCTGCTGCTCCCCCACCCTTTCTATATTCTCTCTCTCTCTTTCTTTCCTTCTATCTAACGCCAGGTTTCCCTCGCTCCGTCTCTTTTCTTCGCTGCCTCGCGGCGGGCAATAAGACGAATCGAGGAAATTCTCCGCCCGGCACCACCGCGAAGGAAGAGGTGGGCACGCAGAAAAACCGTACAGAAGGTGCGAGAGAGAGGAAGAGAGAAGGAAAGAGAAGGGGCTGTACGGACCGATAGAGAGACACGTGTGCGGGGAAAAATGAGGGGGGGGGGGGGGGGTCAGAAGGGAGGAGAACCGGGCATTGTGGAAGTCAATGGAAGCCGGACGACGAGATTGGGTGAGTCCTCCTCCGTTGTCGTCGTCTGCTCGTCGCCGCTGCTAGCTTTTTCTGTCCGGGGATGAAGTTTAATTATGGGAAAACGCGCTTATCGAGCAAAGCTTTTTTCCGTCACGCGTGAAACGGATCTTTGGGAAATGAAGTTCTGTAGCCCCTTAAAATGACGACGAGTCGATGAGAACAGTGGATGGTAACCTGTTAATTAGAAAATTACCAAAAATTTTGGATGCAATCATTCTTTTACTCGAGACTCTTCGAAGAACCTTCGAATTTTTCATACACGAGAACTATGAATGTCTCACTGAGATACAAACCCCCAGTTAACGGGTTAAGAATGCTCGTTATTTTTCCAAGTGAAAGAATGGTGAAAATAGATAATAATAGGTAGGAATTGGCCGCGTATCCAATCTACCGAAAGTGAAAGCGGAGGGCTGACGCGTTAAACGACGCAGAGGGAACGAGAGGGAACGAGAGGCAGAGTATAAAACGGGGAAAAATTTCAAAGCGCAAAATAGCTGAAACACCGTGGCCGTGACGCGTGGCAAAGGGATTTTAAAGCGAATAGGAGACTATCGAATTCAACGAAGGGCAGAATTGTCACTATTAAAGGGTCACCGGGCAAAAGCTGTAACAATTGCTCTTTCGGCTTAACACCACCAGATATTCCAACGAAAGTGACGTTCACTGGCGTTTTCAAAGCGAGCGCCATGTGTGCTTTTCCGTCGAACGTCTAGCCACTTGTTTAACTCGTCGAGCCAACCACCACTACCGGGACACGCGGAACGAGCAACGTGTTTGCCGGCACGTTTTCCCTCGGAATTAACCGGCTAAACAAACGCTTGTTAATTCAGACTGTTAATCCCCCCGTGGTCTGTTCAATTATTTGCTCGAGATGTAAAGAGAAAAATCGGATTGAAAATATCGGGCTTGGGTAAACGGGCCAATCAGGCTAAATGGTTTTTCTCGAGGAGAACATCTATCTTTTCGGAACTTTTATAAACGGAACTTTCTTCTACCGAAAGAAAATATTAAAAATTTCTAAGATACCGATCTAAAATTGACGAAAGGTATTTTCAATACTTCACCCTTTCCGCCTACACACAAATCGGAAAATACGTTCATTCCTCTAAGTAGATGTAACCCCTTGAACTACATATATGTTTCTCCGTCTGTTTACCTTGTGCGCTCTGAGAGTCTTGCCCTCGCAGGCCAGAGTGACGTCGCAATAAGCTTGCCGCTCGAGCAGCTGTGAGAACATGGTCTGTAAGTTGCTGTGATGGTACTTCCATCGTAGGCAATACTGTTGGGGGAACATGTTGGACGATGACGTCGCGGGAGGTGTCGTTGTTGAACTGCCTCGTTGTTGAAGCATGCGCGGAACTGGCACAGCCACCAGCTTCTTCGTCGCCAAGATCCTTTCCTGTGGTTCACCGTAATCCCACCGCCTTCCTTCTCCCCTCTGTAACAATAATTTCATATCGAGAAACATCAGTGCTGTACCTTTCTCCCCCCATTGAGTTCATGCTGAAAGAAATTATACACGCGGAACGATCATCGCTTCTTATCTCTGATTTCTTCGTAACGAAGGGGTAGATGAGATAAGGAGCAATTAGCATTGAGAAATAGCTTTGATAGGGGGAACTATCTTAATTGGCCCGCCACAATCGCCTTAGTATGATACGACGATTCAACAATTCATACGGTGATACTTTTCGCGTTCCCACGATACAACGGGGGCTAATCAATTATCCTTCAGCTTTAGCCATTCTTAGGCAGGTTGGAAATTGCGATCGGTTCGATAGAGTTGCCGGTAATTTACGTTTCCTGTTAGACAACCACTTTGTTTCATTCGCTTCCGGAACGCCCGAAGGGGGTCGTAGAACGGTCGCATTTACAATTTTTTAGTTCTTCCGTTCAGCGGCTACTAGTTCTGCCTGTACACATAATAGACACACCTGCATTCGAAATGCGACTAAGCTTGCGATTATTACAGAAAGAACACTAACGCGTATACAAGTACGTCTCGTTGTTTGACTCTTTTTCCTTTTGTCTAGCGTCCACCCGTTTGTAAATCGATGATTAAATTGTAAGCTTAAGAAAGCTCCTTACAGGCGTCGATCGGTGGGAAGTCAGGCTCGTTCTCGATGTTAAACCGACCCGGGCCTCCTCTGTCAATGCTTTCAACGCTTCCAACACGGTGATCTTCCAAGCATTTACGCGCGAACCAGTTCGAACGACTTCCCCCAACGGTGCTCAGTCTCGCGTGTTTCAGTCCCTGGAACATAGAGAGCAGATGGATTGGTCATCAAGAGAGTCGCTCGGTTCATGTTTGATTACACACAGTGTCCGAGGTCCAATTGCATCGAGGTGCAGCTCAATTACAACGAAACAGGTTCTATTTGGCTCGATTAGGTTTATCTCTGTTCCCCACTAATTTCGATCGATTCTCGTTTAGAGTTCGATTAGATTCAGTTCGATCCAGGCTACAGTCAGTTTTCCATCAGCTGCAAACGTCGACCTGGCAAACTGCTTAATTCAAACCAGGGATTCGGTAGACTACTTTTATGAAGCAATTTGCTGGCGATGCTTACTCGCCTATGACTTCGGTTAAGTATAGTGTTGGAAGGGAAATAAGAAATTCCGTTGCCAGAGAGCCGCAACGATTGCTTCTTCCTACCGTGTCAACGATCGTTTGTCCCGAGAACAGCAATGAAAGCTGGTGATTAGCGTTAAATCGACTAGGTTTGTAACCTAACTATCGATCCTCGTACCCTTCTGAGGAACCTAATAAAGGGTCGAACTTATCTAACAGACTGAATCTGGACAACGAAAGTAAGTAAAAATATCTTGCAGAGCACTATTAAGAATGTTAAGAACGAACACGATCCGCCTTTATAAAAAACAAAATAAAACCGGAATAGTTCGTAGAAGCTAATTAAGACGGGAACTATGTCTTCGATATCGAACCTTCGTCCACTTTACTCAAGTTCCACCGAGGAGAATGCCAAGATTCCGAGGAGAAGGGAAGAAAAGTTTTCAGGGAAACTCGGTGGAAAAAGAAGTTCCCGGTAGCATTATCTAGAAACGATTAACGCGGTTCGCTTGTATTTATTAGCATAATAATCGAGAGTGACTCTGTAAAATCGTGAAACCCGCATATCGGCGTTCAATTTTGATTAGCGCGGCGCAAGACCGGTGATGTAGTTCCATTAAGGACGGATCGGAAAGCTGATTTGCAGGGAATCTCGTGAATTTTAAAGTCAGTCACGTTTCCGATTATGTGTATCGTTATCGTATAATCAAAATCGACACACGATGCGTGCACAGTGTAACTTCGTTTACCTCGTCAAGCCGAACTCGACAATTTCTTAATCAAATTAGCAAATAAGGCTGTAATATCATTCACGTAGGGGACATGATTTTTGTTCTTTTTCTCGAAACAATTCCAGGGGAAACTCGCATTATTTACCGATCTGTAGGCTGGTCAACGTCTCTTATTGAGGCTCGAGGGTAATATCTAAGGCACAGTTTAGGCTGCACGCTCGAGTGCGGTTTTAAAATTCCCCCCAGGCTAGCTAGCTTCCACGGAGCATGCCGGTGGATCGTGGGAATCAATAAATTCCGCGTATAGGAAAACGTTGCGGGCACAATACGCGAAAAATCGAGCTTGCCACGAATTCGAACGCGAAATTACGCCTTCCCTCTCTCTACCTTTTCATCATCTTCCCAATTTTTATCCACTCTCGTGCCCCCTCCTTGCTTTCCCCCGCGCAATTTTCATTCTATTACCAATTTCCCTA